CAATTGGAGAGACAGAGCCCACAACAGTCTTTGCCACCGGTTTGAAAGCAGAGGTATGCGACGAGTGATGGGCATGAGATGGTGTGCTGTTGTTGTTTGAATCCCTGTTCTCGTGAACTCCCTGTTCATGAGACCAGAGGTGATCTCTTTGTTGCTGTTGTTGTGAAAACACGAGAGCATTGGTATCACTGTTTCCAAACAATTTGGGTCGATTGGCATCGGGTGCGCCAAACTCTAAGGAAGAGCCTGGTGGTCGCGGCCACAGTAGACAACTATATGGTATGTGAAGGGCCGGTGGCTTTCCAGAGCCAATCCACATAAACTCAGCAAAACTTTGCCTGAAATCTGATGCGTGACTCGAAGAAAGTGGTTTCATAGGAGACGTTTGCATCGATGGGTTAGCCGTGAATGGAGCGCTTGAGGGCAGGGAATAGCATTTATTTGGTAATGGGATTAATGGGAAATAAGTCGGCGCTGCACTTCCAGTGCTCTTTGGAGACAAACTATCACTCATTGTTGTGTTTGGTGTCAGAGAGTGATTGCTTTCAGGCGACGACGAGTTCATGCTTTGCCTCTTTAGGTACTCCTGATTAGAGCCATTACTCCGAGAATGACTGCTCAGACCCGCAGCCATTGCCCGCTTACGGCTCCCACCGTTGAACATAGCCTTCACATCTGAACATCAAATTATCAATTTATATTCACTTATCATTAATGTATATATTGTATAGTTTCATATAATATACTGCATCTGAACAATAGCTAATGTCAATAATAGCAAACATACCCTCCCACGCAAATGACACTTCATCAGGAGGTTCAGGATTTCCTACAAGTTTTATATGTCTTCTCCAACTAAACAATTCATTTATAACTTAATTAAAGTACAATTACTGTTAAAATGCTTTCATATGAAACCTGTTAAAGTTGGCGGCGTCGGGCTGTATGTACTTAGAGTCAGGCAAACGGTGCGAATGGAATATGAATTTGTTTGGCGAGAAAAATAGTCCACAATAAACACATTTTATACATTTTGCTCTGTGCAAGATCAAATAAATGATATTTTAAATATAAAATTATTTATTAGAGTACCTATTAATTTATAGGATCACTACTAACCGGGAACTGTTGTAACGGGAAGGAGTAAACTCTCCCCTACAACCTGTTTATAGAAAACAATTGTTACTCATTTTATTCTTAATTATTTGAGAGATTAAATAATATTTTAATATTATATTTATGATTATATTTAATTATAGAAGCGTAAATTATAAGTAAATATGGCATACTATATGTCAACAGCAAACAATTGTTCTGTCTTATTTTTATTGTTTTTACTTAATTTCTTTTATTCAAAGTTTTTATCAAAAATAAGTTTTGTATAATAAATCTGTATTTGTAAATAAAACTATAATATGGGTATTTACTTTATATTACAACATTAACTAGAAGCAAATAATGTAGTTGAGGGATAAATAAGTAATTTGTTAATTAAAACTCTTTATAATAATTAATTTTCTTTATAATATACAGTTCTGTATT